TCATAGATATTTTTTATTCTTAGTGCAATTGTAGATGAAATTGTGTGTCTGTGAAGGAGCTGAATTCAGGGTTTTCTTACATTACCACTTTGGATAATTCTATCTCATTGTATTTAATTTGTATTCCTTTGTTGCTTAGATATGTTGAATATATTTTCATGTGTGTATTTTCCATCTTATATTTTGTTGGTGAAATGTCTGTTCATATCTTTTGCCCTATTTCTAGTTAGATTTTTTAACTATTGAGTTTTGAGAGTTTTTATATATTCTAGATCCTAGTTATCTGCTGGAAGTGTGGTTTGCAAATATTTTCTTTCACTCAATAGCTTGATTTTTCATCTTGGTCACATGGGATCTCACTGAGCAAACATTTTTAATTTTGACAAGAATGATCACATCTCCCTTTTATGAATCATGCTTTGGTGTTAAGTCTAAAATCCCTTTGCCTTCTTATAGCCTTTTTATATGAACATTAATCTTTGTTCTGAATACCTATGGGTCTGCTGTTTTTTATTATTAATATTTTATATTTTTTCTCTGTCTCTCTTTGTTTACTGATAGTTCCTGCTAAATATCTGCCTGCTTCTAATAATCCCTTTTCACCCAACATTAGGCTTAGTTCATAACCCACTTTTTTTATTTTACAATTTTGTTGTTTTGTCAATAATCTTACCTTTCTACTACATTTAATATTATATTCTTATTTCCCTATTATTTATGGCTTCTAATAAATGCATTTATCTCTTGTTATACTACAGTAGCTCTAATTGACAAGTTTTAAAATGTATTACATCCGTTGTTTAAAAAGTGAAATCAGAGGGGGAGTCAAACCATGAGAGACTGTGGACTCTGAGAAACAAACTAAGGGTTTTGGAGGGGAGCGAGGTGGGGGACTGGGTGAGCCTAGTGGTGGTTATTACGGAGGGCATGTATTGCATGGAGCACTGGGTGTGGTGCATAAACAATGAATTTTAGAACACTGAAAAAAGAAATAAAATTAAATTTAAAAAATAAAAAATAAAAATGATTAACATATCTATTGAAGATTATGAATTAACTTAAATAGCAAAATATTTTAGTTGTGTTTTATTCTTTTGTGATTTATACTATGAACTAAATGTAAAATGGACTTACAAACTAATGTGTTGCCCATTTATTTTACCAGTTCTTTTGTTGTCAATTTATTTCAAAGATAATTTACTAATATACTTTTCACTACTAATAATAAAAGTGTTATTATAAGGATATGTGATTAATCCCAATCATCAGATTTTTTTTTTTTTGCCAGAATCCTGTCATGTCTGTGACATTTGCAATCCTATCATCTCATGACTATCAGCTCATTTTGTCAAAAAAAATCCACATTCTGTATTGCGTAGAGGGGTTTATAGACACTGTGGAAGTAGACAGGTTCACTCGTCTTTCAACTCTGCTGCTTCCTTTATAATGTTTAACCTTCTTGGTATCAGCTCTGAGACAGCTGATAGAATCTTCCAACTTCATGTGCTGATGCCTCTTTGCCTGTAACAGTACCAGCTGTGGTGGTGAAGGTCCAACCCTGTGGTGTTACTGGGATGCAGGTTCATGAGTACTGGAGCTCCTTGATGGAGCATTCCTCTTAGCATCACCTCACTGCAACTGTACAGCTCTATAGGCTGTGGAGCTTGAAACAACCGCGTACCACAACACTGCTGACATAAGAATGTTCTTGTAGTTGTCCTCTGACTAATGATGTGTGGGAAGGAGTTGGCTCAAAATACAGGACTTTGCAGGAGGCTATAGATGTCTACACTTGAGGTGGGGGAAGAGTTTATCTCCTTGTCTCACATGGAGAGAAAAGTGACTTGGACCCACCATGCATATGTGGATCTGTGAAGATAATGGGTTCAGGATGAGCACTGGGAACCACACCCATGTGGCACCAGTGGGCACCAGGTGTTGGTGAGGAGTGAGCATTAGAGGTGCCCGAGGTGGGTGGGATGGATGGGAGATGGACAGAATCCTTCAGTACCAGGAGCTGGGCCTGCAGCTAGGGTTGTAGTTCACCTTTGGACAAGGCCTGTATGCCCATCCTCTCCATCACTCTGTCCTCCCCAGGTCCACATTCAGGGTCACTGATAATCACAGTGATGAAAACAACTCCTAGAATCTGCACTTTACTGTCATCTCAGTGGCAGCTCTATGGCCCACTTTAACTCTTGTCCCCAAGCCTGGGACCGAGGGTCAGACACTATGGACCAATGTGCAAGGCCCACATGGACCTGAGCAGAGGTAAGGAAAGAAGCAAGTAGTCAGAGTGACTCTTAACTAGGGAGAATATTCCAGGAAACACAGCACTTCTATGCCATAACCCTGAGTAGTATCCCAAATGGCGGACTTTGGAGAAAGCGTGGAGGTCATTATCCTTGTGTGGCATGTGAGCAACTGGAGTGTAGATGGCTAAGGGCAGGGCCAAGGCTGCAAGACTGGCTTTTGGCAGAGCTGGGATGGCTCTTTCAATTCCAGGCCAGGGCCCCCTGGAGGGTCCTGGGGCTCCGTGGAGACCAAGGGGAATCCCTCCTAGCTGGCCAATGCTATATGGTCCCCAGGGTTCTCAGTGGCCTCACACCAGGAAATGGCCTTTGTCACCCACTGCCTAGGGCAGAGAGGGTCAGCCATAGCATGGGGGCCTGGGCCCCTCTAAACCTGACCCTGTCCTCATCTTCCATGGATGAATCCACCTGTGTTCTCTCTCCCTGGCCTGATTCCTAGGGAGAGAGGGTGTGCTCATGCACGAGGAATATTGTGAGCCTGAACAAGGCTTCTGCCGTGGCCACACTCATCCTTCAACCAGGACCTTGAAGGTTGCAGACATCTGGCTTTACCTGCCAGCTCTGCTCACTGAGGCAGGATGGCTCCAGGCAGCCCATTCCCAGTGCCTTCTCACGTTCACTCCACAGCTGTGGCCTGGGTCCGCTTTCCTGGATACTCAAGAGTTCTTCCCTTCCCTGACCCCAGGAAGACAGCTTATGCTTATTCAACAAACCTACTCTGAAAGGAGAAGGGCACATGACCCCTCGAGCCAGGTAGAGGTGGATAGGGTAAGAGGGGAAATATTTCCCCACAGCACATTATCGTCATCCTACATCTGTTACAAAGTTGGATCATCTGGAGCATGGACTCCCTGTTAGGCCTTGGGGCAAGAGTCTCTGGGTGTGGGCCAGTACTATTAAGAAAGCCCCACAGGTGTGGTGTGAGGCAGGATTTAGTGAGTCCTTGCCAGGAGCTATGACTTGATGCCTGCTTTGCGGGCTCTGAGCGCACAAGAAACTGTCTCCTTGAGCTTCCTGATGGGACTTGAGTAGAATTAGTGCTGTGACTGTGGGAAATACAATGGGATCAAAGTGGGTAAAGAGACCCCTTAATCTTCCTTCTGCAGATTGAGGCATGACTCAGAACAGTTCAGTGTGGGAGTAGACAGGAGGTTGGTTGGTTGGAGGGTCTTCAAGAAAAGTGTTCTGAAGTCTGAGACCAGACAGAAGGGTAGAAGAGAGAGGAGAAGAACACAGGGAGAAGGGGAGAAGAACACAGCTGAGTCCACTCCAAGTGATGTTCATCTGGCAGTGAGGGCGCCCACTGTCAGGCTTTCCTCGTGGCTCTGCCTGGGGGAGCATAGATTCCAGGTCTCCAGAAAGAATGAGCCCTGAAGATATCTAATACTACATGTCTACCACGAGTCCCCAGGATGACCCTACAATGTGGACTGGAAGGTACAGGTGGTTTGTTTGGGAGATGATCACAAGAGGCACACAGAGGGGAAGGGAGGGAGACAGTCAACATGGCTATTGTTATGGGTCACAGTCTTGCTGGACTATATGAGAACCCCATGGAACATGCCTCTGACTTGCCTCTGTGGTGCTGGAACTCTAGGCCTTTTCCTACTGCAGCTGTATGTGGGGGTGGAGTGCTGTCCTTGGGCCTACCTCCCCCCACTGAGGTGTGCCTACTCTGAAGATGGAGTGCCACTTGTACAGAGAAAGCCCTGAGCAGAACTTAGGGGAGCATAGGATCTTTCAGTGGAGGAAAGTGTCAAGTACTGGGTGGTCGAGCTGCATGAGCATTAGAGGGACAGCTAGTTGGGGAGGGAAGCCACAGCTCCAAGACCAAATGGAGAAGTTGCTTACTTGTGTAAATAGTCTTGCTGGAACACAGCACTCATGTTTGTGTTTACATTGTGGAACTCCCAAAGCAAAGTCAGGGAGCTGAGAACAAGGCCATATGGCCCACAGAGGCCAAAACAGTTACACTCTACTTACAGAAAAAGCTTGCCAATCCTCTTTTAGGAGATTCAGGCTGAGTCTCATGGCATCTGGGAGAACAGTACCTCTCAAGTGGTAAGTGTCCATGGGTCTCCTAGGAATTCAAGAAATGCAGCCTTCTTGTGAAAAGTTGGGGAGGCCTTAATGGAACATTTTTGAGGCTTCAAGACTGGCTGCTACTGCTACTGGTGGTGGCTGGATCACTCAGTGGGTGAGGATACTGACCTTCCCATATCCTTACAGCTGTGTGGACCAGGATATGGGTGTTAGCAAACGGCTGAAGACAGGGTACTCATATGTCATGAATGTCTGAGGGTCTGTCTTGGTCCACCCTGCAATTTGGGTTCTCTGCCAAGTCATGGTCATTGGAACTTTGGGGACAAAAGTGATCCCTCATGAACCCTAAGACAGCAGCTCAGAAGTACCTTGTACTTTCAGACTGTGTCACCTGAATCTGGCTCCAGAGGTCCAAGAGGAAAGAGAACCCACTTCCCTGGGCCCACCCTACAGCCTTGCTGGGATCAGTCCTTCACCTGTGCAGCTCTCTGGAACCATGCCACACAAAGCTTCTTGAAATGCAGATGTTTAATGATCTATTCTACATGAAAAAATTGGACAATGAGGAATTTCCACAATGCCTAGAAGTGAGACCCAGACACTTGCAAGAGAACAACCTGTTTTGCCTCCTACAGAGAAATGCTCGTGTCCAGAAGAGGAACAGCTAGAGGCCAGGTGGGCATGGCTTCAATCAAAGGAAGTCTTCCGAGCAGGTCTTGTTCCGGAGTACAAACTTGGTTCTCCAGGGCTCAGTGCTGATGGTGAAGAAGCAAGTGATGGTCTGAGGGAACAAGCACAAGAATGGAGGGTGGGTGAAGAACACTGGAAAGCAGTGGCTCCAGCTTTAAACACAAGACACATCCCAACCACCCATCCCAAGGTGAACAGCTATGGATGCAGGCTGTGGTCCTCTGATGTACTGCCATCCAAGGCCTTCCAGTTTTGGACCTAGGACCTGTCCTGACCTTAGGGGCACATGTGTCATACTCCTTACCTTGGTCTGTGGTCTCCAGGGGCACACTCAAACTGACCCAGTGTGACCCATGCCCCTAGTGCAGCATTGGGGTACTCTTTACCAGTGGGTGCTATTTCAGAGGAGCCTCTGGTCAAGGTGGGATTGCCCCAGAGCTGGGGTTCACATTGACTGTTTTCCTTGTACTAGTTGCTGGTAGTTCACTGGGACCCAGGTCAAGGCATAGGAGAAAGGGCAGTGGGTCCTTCCTTAAGCCCCATTCCTTCACACTGTTGACAGGGCCAATGGGGACTTCAAAATAGTCAGTGAGGCAAAGATGCTGTAGGCTACCCTAACATGCCCCTATTCCTGGAGGTCAGGAAGGGAGGTGGGTAAAGTTCAGAGAAGAGACATCCTGTCTCTTCCATCCAGAAGACTTGGATCCTCATGACCAGGAGCAATCTGATATCAGTGAGGCCCAGGGCACAGGCAGCTGGAATGCAGTGAGTGGGCAGAGTTGGTTCCCAGATTGGCCAGGAGCATACAAGTGGATCTTGGGGCTGGCTGGCCCAGCTGTGCTCCTGCTGCAGTGCCAGCAGTGGACATGGCAGGGCCTGCAGTTCCCTCACTCATCTGTGTTACTAGGAATGCCACTGTCATCTGCCCCATCTCCCCATCTGTCCCAAGCTGCATCCTCAGCTGTGTGACCTGAGGGATCTGCTGTGTGTCTTACATTGTTCAGCTCTGGGCTTTCTTGAAAGGGACAGTTGTCAATGTCATCATCAAATTTCTCACATTCAGTTCTGCGAAGCTTTATCTCCATGGAGAATGTCAGGATGTCTTCTATCTGTGGTACATGGAGACATTACAATGGCAATGTGCTTCTCTGTTCCTGTGAGGAGCTACTAATGTTGATCCACGCAGTGTAGGGAGAGCCCCAATCACTCCTCCACTAGGGAGCTGTCTCCGGGCCTGGGTCAGCTTGTTGGGGGTAAAGCCAAGCTTGGGGAATTCAGAGCAAAGAGGATTGAGGATGTTGTTGAGGCCAGGGATAGATGCCGGCTGAGTCACACACCATTTATACATCTCACCCCACAGCATGATGTCCCCAAATACCCCAGGGAGACCCAGCCTGACTTCCAGCATGCTTCTGAAGCTACAACAGCACTCTCAGGAGACAGGTGCCAAGTGCCTGGGAGGGTGTTGGCTCTGCAACAGTTTGCTGAATAATGTTAGCCCCAGAGTAGGAGAGTCATTTATGACACCATTGGCACACCTTTCACCTGCCCAAGAACAGGAAAATGTCCTACAGTGTTGCTGGAACACTCACATGTTCTGCTGAGCATACACACACACACACACACACACACACACACACCAACTATGGTTTCCAGATACCTCTTGTCCTATTACAAAGTACAGCTGGAATTTTCTATACTCTTCTCCACTCTATCTTCCTCATTCCACTCCATACTCCCCACACCCTAACTTAGTGTGAGTGCAGCTCTAGGGAGCCCAGAGCAGATCTGTGAGTGCAAATCTAGGAGCCCAGAGCAGAGCTCGGAGAAAGCTCAAGCAGTAGAACCAGCCAGGACCTGGCCCAGCAGTGTTCACAGAGGCTGAAGTCTGTGCAGGGTGGAGCTCCCATTATCCTTCCTTCAGGGTCTCAGGGCAGAGGTCCAGAGGGAGAGAAAGGAATGAGTCAGGCCCAACACATGCACACATGCACACACACTCACAGACACATTCAGACACACATTCACACACTTTCACACACACACCAACACATTTGCACACATACTAACACAACCTCACTACACACTAACACACACTCACTCACATCCACATGTACACACAGAGACACACAAAGTGACACACACCCCTCAACTCACACTTTCACATATACACACACACTCACTGACACAATCATACCTACACCCTACCCCCCCACCCACCCAAGACTGTACATGATCCTGATGCAGGCTGTGTGAAAACAGCCTTCCTGGCTCATTCTGCAGACACTCCTTTACAAGGACAATCAATGCTCTAGGATTGAGAACCAAGGTCTGGGAAGAGTGTAGAATAGCATCTGTCACCATAGGTAGAGACCACAGGGGGGAGCCCAGAGAAGAGGTCCCAAAGTCACAGGGGCTGATCTGGATGAAGGAGAATCCTTATTGCCCTGATAGTCAGGCCCTTCTCCCTCCCTCTCTCTCGGTGTCTGCTCTCTGTTTTCTAATTATCTCCTTGTACTTGTTCCTTAGAATATTTCCTCAGCTTATGTCTTCTGTGGGTCTTTTCCTTACTCAGGATCTTTATCACCTCATAGTTTGTATTTTGAGTCATTCATCATAATGTTATAAAATGATGGAGATTAAAAATATACCTTACATGAGAGTAGATTTTGTCTGAGGTATTTAAATTTCCACATTTTTATTTTATAAAACTGAATCTAACTGGACAGGTTGTACTTTCCGTATTTTATGAACTTCAGACGGTGAACAAGATACCACGATAAGACCCCTCCTCCCACAACCCTGACTTTATAGCAAGTTCAGGTCATCAGGCAGGAAGATGTGGTCACCTACCTGTTCCTTCCAGGAATTCAGGATGCTCAGCAGCCTGTAGGCCATTGAGTCCTTGCTCTGTAGGTTGAATATGTGCAAGGCATACTCCACAGTGGCAGGGAAATGAAGTTCTATATCTCTTTGTTCATAACTGTCTTTCTCCTCTTGGGAAATCCAGCTGTGAGTCACCAGGAGCTGGGAACCTAGTAGTAGCAGGAGCATGGCCCAGGGCAGAGCCCACCTGAACAGCAAGTGCAGCATGGCTACAGGAATCCGGAGACCCACTGCCTTTTTTCTTGTAGCTCAAGCTCCCTCCAAGCCTCCCTGGGCATTGGTCCAGTCCATCAGCTTCAGAACAATTCCTCCCTCTGGATATCATATCTGCTATTACACACTGTCCTTTCCCACATGTCACCCTGCCTCCCATTCCAAGTGGCATAATTGCTTCTTGTCCAGACAAGCCCAGGCAGAATGGGTTGCAAAGAACCAGCAATGGGAGGGAGGCATCCCTTGTAGCCTAGCCCCAGCCATAACATCCCTATCAGCTCCTTAGTGGGGAGAGACTTCATTTGGTTGCCCCAGAATCCAAGGCTGAAACAAGGATACAAGAGCAAGACATGGAAGTGGAAGGTTGACCCCACGGCAGAGCAGTAGGGTGAGGATCATGGAGATAAGGATATAGCCAAAAACGATGAGTGACTGAGAGACAAGTTGTGGGGAGACAGAGGTAAGCTACACAGAGAAAACTGGTATCTTTGGAAAGAAGGAGCATTGAGGTCTTGATGAGTCCAAGTGTCTTTGTCCCTCTCAGCTCCCCAGTCCCCCTTGAGTAGTGGAGCAGAGAAGGCTCACTGGCCCTTGGGGTGATGCCAGGAAAGGGAAATTCAGGGTCTTGGAACCAGGAGCTTCCAGCTGAGCTCACTGCATCTCCTTTTGCACTCCTCAGCCCCTGGATGTGCTGCCACTTGCTCAGTCTGGGGCCTGGAAGGATGATGTAAGCACAAGCTCTCCAAAGGTGTTGCAGCAGGGGTGACCCTTGACATACACTGGATCTATAGATCCCTTTATAAGAATTTGCTCTAGAAGAGAGAGGGTGGAATGAGGGAGAAGCAGACAGAGCAAAGCCAGTGAGCTCCCAGGGATGGCTGAGCTGTGACCATTAGGTGAGCATCAGTGCCATCTCGTGGTGAAGGTCCTCAAGGCTCAGTGGACACAATTTCCTGTGTGCAGAGTCTGGGTTCTAGAGAGGGACTCTCACCATGTCCATGTGGAGGAGCAGATGGGGCTCTGGAAGGACTAAGGAGCACATCTTTCCAAACAAGTCTTCAGCTCTGTGCCTGTGAAAGGCTTCAGTACTTGTATGCCGCTACTTGTGAACTCAGGGGGACCAGAATGCCCTGAAAGGCCTGTGGACACCCAGAGCCCTGGGCCTTTCCCTCAGCCAGGACTCTGACCCAGTCAGTCTGGCAGGCCTGGCAAGTTTGCCTCTTCACCTGTTTCTGGATACTTCACGTCTCAGGGGAGGCTTATCGTCCTGGTCTCTGGTCCACATGTTGGGGAGCACAGTCCCTGGGCTTGGGAGGGGGGAGTTACAGCTGAATCATCAGGAGAGGTCACTCAAAGGAAGGGCACAGGGTGGGTCTGAGGATGGTTTGTGGGGCCACACTGGATCAGGGAAGGGGTTGGAACTCCATGCCTGGTGCAGGATTTGCAGACCCCGGGCATCAGTGACCAGATAGATGATCCTACAGACAGAAAGAAGGCTGCTTTGAAGCTGACAGGATGTCCTCATTGCACAGAGGCCCTCAGAGCTGGCATCCTTCCCAGGAGCTGGACCTCTCCACCCCAAGTTTTGCCGTTCTTAAGTTGCCTACAATAGGAGACCCTGCCAGGTGCCCTCAGCTAATGCTATCCCCTAAGAACTTCATCTCCTTATTATTGGGAATGTGAGCATCCTTGTGTCTTATCCTCCATGGTTGTTTGTGATTTTTCTCTTCAGGCAAAGTTCCATGGTCCCTATTTTATTGTCCCCCAACAGACTCCATCCTACCAGGTTGTGATGTGTTATTTGTAATGATGGTAGGATAGTTTCATCGGTGTATACTCATCTCCAAACTCTCAGTTGTAGATATTAAATGTTATAGCTTTTCTGTGTCAATCACTCTTCAATAACCCACATTAAGCAAAACAAAAATTAAAAATAAAAAAAAAAAGGAAAGGAAAGGAATGAAAGAGGTCTTATCATTCTCAGATACATTCTCAGATAGCTTTAAGTTTACACATACTGAAGCTTAAGTGATGTGGTTTTTAGCCCAAGAATGACTGTGCATGTTTAGAGATGGGATAAGAGTGTTTGCAATCACAGCAATGTCGCTGTGGATTTTCAGTGGTGGGGACAGGCTGTGGAAACCTGTGTGAAGTAGAATCTTGACATACATGGATAGATTCCAAGCGACCCAACAGAGCCAGCAAATGCTCTGAGGCTACTCACTGAGGCCACTCACACTTTGCCATGGAAAGGGCCTGCAGAACACAGATCTGTCCTACATATGCCTGTGTCTTCCCCATCCAAGGGAATGTCTTTGTATGATCTTATAGGAGGCACGATTTAGACCTCCGTGCACCACACTGGTCCTCACAGTGCAGCTAAGAGGAAGTTGGCGGCTGATCCCAGACCTGGGATCACAGATGCATGGACACACTACTCTTACAAGTGTGTTTACACTCTTGACAAGTCCTTAGTGGTCTGCAGTGGTTTCCCTGTCCAGACTGAGAGCTACTAGCATATCAAGAAGGAATGAGAAGCATAATAAGCCAAGGAATGAGAAGAGTGAATGTATATCTTACCCTGTCAGAACCTGAAAGACATAGGCACAGATGTTTTGTAGGCCCCGGGTAAGCCCAGTGGTATATGATCCCCATCTGGGTATATGAAAGCCCATAGCAGCCTTTCACAGCCTTCTGTCTGGCCACATCTCCATCTGGGATCTGGGATGCCTTTTCTCCAGGGACTCCTATCGATCCTTCAATGCCCAGACCAAATGTGTCTTTTCTCTAATGCTGTCTTGAGGCCCATGGCAGAACTCTATCTCACTAACCTGAGTAATAAGTGTTTGTCTCCTGGGAGATGCAGGACTTTTGTCAGGCCCACTTTTTTTGTTACTGGCACAGAGTGCCCCATGTAGGTCACATAGGAAGGTCTCAGTAACTGCTCACTGAAATGGGCCTGATTCTTTGAACCCAAACCCTGTATTTCTGGAAGCATTCCTTTCCTTTCAGAAATCAGGAAATGTCAGCATGGCCAGGACCAAACCATCAGCTCTTCCCTGTGGAGACAAAGGTATTGCAGCAAGCAAACAGAAACCACCATTTCTGTCCCAGACACAAGGCATGGCAATCCTCCCAGCTCCCTCCCTCTGACCTCACTGCTCAACACCTTCTAGGCGGTCTGACTCACTGCGCAGCCTAACTCTGCCCTACCCTCCAACTGCCCTGCACCGTCTTGCCCAGGATTGCCTGTTTGGCTTCCAGACCACTTCCTAAGGGCCCTGCACCTCCAGCTTGATACTGCCTCATGGTTCCTGTGCTGGGAAACAAGTCTATGCCCAGAGTTCATGTGAGTAAAAGAGAAAAGCAGGAACAGAGAGAACCCCAGGACTCAGGACATAATAGAGCAATCACAGATCAAAGGAAAGCACTGAGAGGCAGGAGAACTTCAGGCTTATCAGAGCTGCTCCCTACCTTGTCCTCCCTTCCCTAGGGCTTCCATCTTGAGAGCTCTTCTTTCTTGAGTCTTCAGGAGATGTTGAGTCCTGATCATGTAAGGCAGGCATCTCATTTAGACTTCCAGCTAATTTAAATAGATAAGGAGGAGTAACAACTGAATATACAAATGACAAAAGAAAGAATAAAAATATTAATATGACCACAAGATATGTGACCCCTCCACCAGGAATCGCTTGTGGCATGTGCAGATGGAAAGTCACTGTAGTAGTTTTCTCCCCCTTCCACCAATCCAGCCTGCTGTGTGGTTATGAGCCAGTGGTCTTACAGACCCATTTAGGAGGAACAGGCCCACTGACCCCTTGTCCCAAGGCAGCTGGGTTCCCACTGAACCAGAGTGTCGCTCCACTCACTCCTCCATGACTTACTGTTGCAAACCATTCTTTGCCTTTCTTGTGACCAGAGCTGGCTACCCCATCTCCTTCATTGTTGTCTACATGAAAACAGAGGCTTTCCTTGAACTTGGGCTATACAGCTTGACCCTTGAACAAGATGGGGATTAGGGGCTTGATCCTTGTGCAGTGGGATATGTCTGTAATTTCTGACCCCCTCAAAATTTAGCTAAGGTTGACAGGAAGCCTTACTGATAATTTAACAGTTGGTTAGCATGTATTTTTTTGTGTGTTATATCATATTAAATACTATATTCTTATAATCAAGGCAGATAGAGAAAAGAAAATGTTAGTAAGAAAATCATAAGGAAGAGAAAATACATTGACAGCACCATACTGTATTCTTTTTTTTTCTTTTCAGTGTTCCAGAATTGATTGTTTATACACCACACCCAGTGCTCCATGCAATACGTGCCCTCCTTAATACCCGCCACCATACTGTATTCTTAATTGGAGAAATCCTACCCATACATGGACCCATGCAACTCGAATGCATGCTGTTCAAGTGTCAGCTGTATATGGGCAAAGTGGATTTGAAAACTGAAACAAGAAGAGAGAAAAACATCCAATCCTGTTATAAATGTGCTCATGGTTGTTGAGCTCTTGTCTCCTAAGGTATTTTTCTCTGGATTCCAACAGACCCTGAGCTCTCTCACTTTGGCTCAATGCAGACCTGCACCCACCCACCTTTTCCTTTGACAAGCTTGCCATGTGCCCCGAACAGAATTTCTCCTAACATTGCCCACTTTTTTCTTTCTGGTGTACTTTAGTTTTTTTTTTTAACTTCAAAATATTCTCCATAAATTTAAAAAGTATTTTCATACACAAACACTTTTACTAGGTAAAATGTAGGTTTGCCTCAACAGAACTGAAATTCCGAATAACAGTGCCTTCAAGAAGCAAGCTTATTATTTTTTTTCTCAGTACAGACAGTAGCTGATACTCACATGGGCTCACTCTTGCCAGGTGCTGCCTCAGGCTCTCTACAAGCATTGTCACATTGAAACCTTACAGGGAGAAAGTCAGCCAAAATAATATATGTTATTAATTTGAAGGCTTTTACCATTTTGCATAAATAATATCATACTGCATTTCTTTACACTTTTACTCAACTTTACACTTCTACTCAAATCATATTGGTGAGGTTGCCCATGTAGGCACTTATCGATCTAATGCATTAGAACCTTACTGT